GATATTTAATGCTTTCGAGATATTAATAATTGGGAAATAAGAGAACTGAAATCCGACATTTTGATAGATACATTTTCAAAGATTATTCGAAAGTATAATTTTTAATTTTTCATGATTTTATTCTACTTTGTGGGGAGAAATAAAAAATCTCAAAATGATGCGGAGGAGCTAAAATTTTAAATGAATTTGTAATGGATTACAAAAGGTTTAAATGAATTTGTAATTGATTACACACAGTTTTAATGAATTTGTCGTGGATAATTTTGCAGACTAACGATAAATTATGTGTCTAATATTGTTGCCACAATTGTCTAGTCTTAAGTACTCGAGTTTCACCTTGAAAATTGTAAATGGTATATGTTACTTCCGTCTGTCCTATGTTCTCTCGATAGACTGGTTTCAATTGTCTTATGTAAACTTCATATACAAACGAGAAGGTATTGGTGACTCAGGCAAGGATGACTTAGAATCGTTAGTAGTTATCCTTGGTGCCTAGTGACAAAGTATATGCAGCAAGTATACGGAGTAAACATCGATTCAGGGTAAACGTAAAACGAAACTTATTTAATAACAAAATTACTTTAATGTTGTTGTATTTCTTATGCCATGTACGATGGAAGAACGTGCCACGTATGCTCAGAAAAGGCAACATTGATTATGCAATTCAGAATTGGTCACGAAAGAATTCTTGGATGCAAGGCCACTTAATGATACCAACATTTCGATATGAGAAGGATAAAAATAATATTAGTAACAACAGAAACAACTAGAAATATGAATGTGACACGAATTTGACAATGCTATAGAGAAGAAGTAGAATATAGATAAATGATTTAACATGCTCTGTAGCTATCATCATCAAACTTAATTCGAGAAAAATAATACGAATCAATTGAAAAAAAGAAACTGAAAAGAATTTTTGAATTTCTAAATGTCATGTTAAATTTTGTAATTGTAAATAATAATATATAATATAATAATATACATATTTTTATATTTCTTCTATTTATTTCAAATAAAATAGCACAACTCGAAATATATATATTGTTAGTTAGTTTAATTAAGAAACGGAAATATATATATTAAAAGTATGCTCACGAGTTCAAATTCGCAAAAACACCAGAAGTTGTTAGACTATTTAAATAAATGTTTAGCTATATCTATGGTTAAACTAGATCATATTAAAAGAAAAATCTTAGAAAACAATTTCGATGAGGTTCTGATGGAAGTAATGACGGAAGAAATAAACGCATGACAAAACAATTAATCACGGCTCGAAGGGGAATGACGGAACGAACCCAATGAAAATCGATCCCTCCACGCCAGATGACGTGTCCCTTCATGACGCTATATTCAATCATGCCTCGGCTGGATATTAACGTTGAAAATGGCCTGTATCGGAACTTTTATTGTGACACGCGGCAAAAACAAAAAATCAAGAAAAAAAAGAACAGGAACGACGTCGGGGATGATACGTGCGTTCCAAAATGAACAAAAAAAATTTTATTTCTCACGTGCATTCCCTTTTCTTCCGTTGTGCGCACCGCGAAAAATTTCTCGTGCGGCCCTCAGGTATTTTACAGAAGCGCACGGATACGAAACAGCGGCACACCCTCTTTCTTCGACAGAGAATCCGAACGATACGCGTTTGTCCTCGAAACTATGCGTGCTCTGGAATTTCCTTTACAAAGAACTTATGGCGAGCTCGCATTTTCTATGTAGTTCAAAAGAATATACTTGACTTTAAAGAGGACAATATTGTATTTTTTATCGCAATAACGTTCGAACAGGAATAATCTGTTGACTAACATTCATAGTAAGCGCGTTGTGTAGCGAAAATTGTGTGGAAGTTATAATACCTGAAGCAAAACATTTGAGAGGCGAACGATGCGAAAAGAATACAGTACTTTATGTTAAACTAAACAGTTGTATTATGAGCTTTACAATGTTTGCAAGGATATTGAATTTTTCATAATTATATGCATTACATATAGTAATGGAATGAAGGAAATATTGAAAAGGAAACGTATAGGTTAGAAAAATACGAATTATATATTTCTGTGATTAATGTCGCTATATTTTTAGATATCCTAAGATTTGTTATTAATATTATTATTTATTGCGTTCTTTTTTGCTATCTATTATAGCTTGTAGTTTTTCTCGTATGCTATCAATTAAATTTTGTAATATACTTAATAAAGAAGCGTATTTTATCAACACTTCTATTGCCTTTTCAAAACTATCTTTATAAGAAAATAGAAAGATACTACTGTTAAAATAAAGAACGTTCAATGTAATATTTATTAGTACTTACATACTGAAATGCCAATATTGAATCTTCTTTTATCCGCTACTTTGTGTTACATAGTACTTATTACTGTATCTATTATTCTCCGGATGATCTCATCGTTCACGGTCATTTTCACACCTCACAAACATTTTCCACACGTTTCATCTTTCATTCCCAGTCTTATAAACGTTATTGATCAATACATTGAGTAATCAAATACAATTGTTCATGGTCTTCTAGTGACACTGATCGTGTGAGCGATACTTAGACAAAATGTAGAAGCACATGGTAATAGCGTTCTCTCGTCTATACGAAGCACCTGTCACTCAATTCCAGTGATTGCCATTGGAAGTCGTTTGTTCTATTCAGTAGAAGATTACATGAAATTACGTCGTTGCATTAGCGCGCACTTGCACACACGCAACAATGTTCTATGAAGAACACTTCAAATCGATAACTATAGTAATGAATAAAAAGGCGAAAGGATAGTTTCTATAAAGTACACAATATTTTTATAAAATACTTAAAAACATTTTATATATTATAAAAATGTATTATTTAACTGAATTAAAAAAATCTCCAAATAGAAATATAAGAATCTCGGAACAAGAACGATACACTAGACTTTTGTTTTAAAACTCTACTGGTAAACCACTAGAACACCTAAATCCCATTGATATTCTAGCTTTAGTTCTCCTTCTATCTCATAGAATACCTGGATTACATAGTCTAGACCATTTCTATTGCCATTATAATCATTAATACTTCATCATTCCCATTAGTTAGCTAACTGGACAGTTTGTCTTAAAGAGACCTTGGCTCAAGAACTCTACCACTGTTAGACCATCTAGACACCCAGATGCCAGTGACTATCTAATCTCAATACTCAACCTCTTCCCTACTAGATTCTTCAATTTCATAGTTGGAACCAATATATCACCATCAGTAGCTTCACATTTCCGCTGATTACATAGCTAGAAGTCTCAGTCCAAGGAAACCTAGATTCTAGAATCCTGTCAGTACTCCACTATTCAAACCTCAACATCCTAAACGCCCTTCCCACCTTTTTATTACTCGCCACTTGAATTCCATAGTTTATAGACAGTATCAGTCCCACTAAGGCTTTCGTAAACAAGAGTCCTGTTCCAAGCTCATGAGTCAGGCCAATGGCCAAATCCATAACATACTGTATAATAATGTGTGAGTGCGGCTAGTAGTATAGATCTAGTCGTCTAGGGACTGTTCGGCAGCAGTATTGGTAACAGAGCCACACTCTCAGGTTACCCCGTCACTAGACTCTAGCTCTTTTGAAGTACGTCTTCGTTAGAACGTAAGTTTTGAAACTTGGCTGGTCGAAACTGGCTCGGACGAGCCTGAATTGTGACTTCAAGGTAAAGATCTGTCTCTCGTGTGGTGCATCATTGTTCAAACATCTTCATATCTGATTCACGCGCCAATATTGGCAGACTTTTAGTCGTTAGTTATTTTAACCCTTGAATGGCGATAACTGGGTCTATTTTGACCCACATTTTTGATAACTATTGGCTTTCATTTTGACTTTTCCTTTTTGTTTCTTATAGCTAATCTCGAGAATCTTTAAATTTGTATTAAGTTATCAATTGGTTGCATTAGATTTATTGAAAGAAGCGCGTATTTTAAAAATGTGTTTGAAAATATATTTAGAAAAGATGATAAGTAAGAATTTGAATGGTTGTAGGCATCGTCGTCTATGAAGTCATCATAGACGTCCGCCCAAGAAAAGTTGGAACGCATCACTGTTAATACACTCGTGGCCAGTTTTCGAGTAACGCTGAAGAACTGAATGCCGCATATTATTTCCAGAAATCTATAGCTGAATACTGCAGTATTTAAATATAACCGTTACCGACATTTATTTAAAAACTGTAAAGTCACATAGGAGTATGTAACCAACAATCACCCAAAAAGTTTAAAATAACGTAAGACTACACGTGTAGCAGAAGAATTTAAAATTACGTTCAGCTACATTACCGATATTCATGTGAGAAATTTAAAATGACGTAGAACTACGTTACCGATTCCGAATGTGTTAATAGTCCCAATTTATTTTGGCACACAGAATCATTTTCTAAATTGAACAACTGTAGTGAAGCACTCTACATATTTCGACTTAATTTGTATCGTTCAACAAACAAACAAGTATCAGTATATCTCAATTCTCACGAATATTGCAGTGAAATGTGATATTGCTTAGATACTTCTCCTCTCGAAAAATACAAATAATTTATAAACATAACAAAAATGGCATTCTTATTTGATGAAGAAACTAGCGCACTATCTAAAGGTATGTGCATCGTCATAATCGTTACGCAGTGGAAGATACAATTCTCTAACGTGGAACGAAGGCGATATCGAATCGAATGGAAGAAATCTCCAGAATAAAACTAGGCGAGGTTTCCGCTCAAGTAACCCGAAAACGAGCAGTAACTACAGCATGTAGAAACTGGTTCTTACATATTTCAGGAAGTCCCGATGGCGCTCCGAACGAATTTTATATGCTCGTTCCGGGACGACTTTAACGTGGCCCTTCCATGACATTCTTAATAACAACCTATTCTACCCACCTTCTCCCATGAAATTAAACATTTCCCAACACATATTACAGAATCGTAACGAATATGTTAAATTATATGAATCGATAATGAAACCGATTCTTTCTTTTTGCTTTCAGATGCGACACCCGATACAAATGAAGCCGGCGGACAGCGAGAACAGAAGTGGTGAGTAACAATTTTAAAAAATTTAAGGACACTCGAAATACATTTCGTTTTATCAACTTTGTTTTCGAGTTTGGAGCTAACAATCGATTTTAGTGAATTTATAAAAATTTTAAGTTCACACCAGAACTATCAGATAGATTAAAATAAACTAGTTTAGGTTGCTTTTTTATAATTATTGAAAATATATAGATTACTTTTTGAGGTATTATTATATACTATTATTTATATATTGTTAAATAAATTTCTTTAATAATATAAGATTTAAAATAGAAGTAAATCGAGGCCTCGATAAATTTACACCTATGATTTCTGAAAATGGTGATTGACTAATAGTTCTAGTTTTAAATATTTTTATATTTGAGGAAATGAGTTTATGATGCTCTTACGTGTAATTAAGTGGAATATACTGATCGTTGATTTTAATGAAAATACGAATCGAATAGTTCGAAATTCCACGACGTTCACGTTGACAAAATGTTCTGGGATATCAGACGAACCCTCGTTTCATGGCAACTCGTCCCCACGTTCTACTCTTAGCTTCCCAACCTCTGCGTCGCTGCGACAACGGAGAATGCAGCTCAAAGCTTGTTTATTAAGTGCTAATTAATTGGCTGAATTGAAGGGTTTCTCGGATTATGTAGGGAAAAAAGATACAATCAAGTCGCGAACCAACGAGTGGGTGAGGGAATGAATGTAGCGATCAAGTATTTAGGGAGAAGGAAACCCCTAGTCGATAGACGTACTTAAATTGAAATAACTACAAATTAATAACGTCGCAATTTATATTCTTTTATTGTCTTTTATTCTACAAGTTTATAGCAAAATAATTCAATGTAAATATTATTTAAATACTACAGAATAGTTGACCGTTTTAAAATGACTATATAATTAAATAATAATAAAATGAATATATAATACAGTTATGGAAAGTTGAAAATTTATAAACATTGAAACAGAAGATAATATATAGATATAAGAACAAGTAAATTTTTGAAAAATAAAATATATTAAATTTTACACTGTCAATTTTTTCAACTTATTCCAATATTTCAGTATGTTTATTCATCGATGTATAGTACTTACTCGTGCGTACCAACACCACTTTCAAAAGGGAAATACTTTCTGGCCAATCTGAAAGTGATTAAATTTCTACGATATAAAACATACTAAAACCTGACCGTACATTTCCGAAATGTCGAACAGTTAACATTAAATTAATTAACATTTCATTCAATCGATACATTAAAAGATGATTATAAAATTAATTAAATCTCGACGAAATATCCCAGAGTATCGGATTTTAAAAGCCCCAAATATTTTATGTTTCATGAAATTTTCTCGCTTGAACCTTCGATACATCAGGGTAAATGTGATCAATACGCGAAACTGCCAGAGCTCGCGAAACCTTTCGAACGACAATGAAAATCTGTCTGCCATTTTGGGAAAGGTGGCACGGCCGGGCAGGAATAAAATGACCGCATCGGCGTCGACGACAAAAAACGAATGCTAATGAAATATTAACGACACCCGTCACGTGCTAACCGTCCAGCTGGACCAGGGTTTGCGCTCATTCTTTTTTTATCTCGCCACGGCTTTTTCTACCTCGGATCCGAAAGCACGGGGTTATAATAGGTACACGTGACGCCAGAGGGTGAAAACGGTGTACGACGCGTGTCCGTGGACAAGCGTCGGACTTCTAGGCTTATTTTTCGAAAAAAAGGAACCGTTGAGAAAACGCGAAAAATATTGGGCACATTTTTCAAAATGAAAGAAATGTTAAAAGACGCAAAAAATACTGGGCTTCTAGGCGTATTTTTCGAAAAGAAAGAAACGTTAAAAGACGCGAAAAATACTAGGATAGTAGACGTATTTTTTGGAAAGAACAAAACTTTTAAAAACTACGAAAAATGCTAGAATACTAGGTGTATTTTTTTGAAAAAGAAATAGAATATTTCGAAAAGAAAGAAATCGTTTAAGGACGGGAGAAAACGCATCCCCACCCCCTACTCGCGTCCCGTTAATTCAAGAGTATCGTGTTTTACCCCATTGATTTAGTTATAATTTGATTTGTCGTACCATACACCCGCTACGCTAAATATTTAACGAAACCATATTTGCGCTAGAACGCTTCGAGTTACCACAACGCGGCTTCGAAACTTCACGACAGAAGTCCACAGAAATTTTCCACTGTTCCGCCCGAATTACTTGAGTTAGAGGAGATTCCGCTATGGAACTACTAATACGTGCAAATTGGAGTCGAAAGTCTCTATAGTATTCGGCTGCGCGCGGTAAACATTTTGAGGGGTGATTTCGCGGACCAAAATATAGCAAAAATTAAGAGGTGCGGAATTGTGATTTCGAAACGCGAGAAAAGCAATTTCTTTACTCCACGAGTTATTCACTTATAAAATTTAAAATCAACATTTATCTAACCTCATCAAATTTGTGTACTAAAATATCTCATAATATTGTAATATAATCAAAAAGTAATAAATTTGTATTAAGTCCAAATTAAGAAATTGTGTCTTTGTAAGAAATTGTAAAATAGATTCGCGTATTTTTACGAATGCAACAGTAAATTGCATTAATAAACAAGAAATGTACCTTTTCAATTTTCCCAAGGAATTACAAGTGAATCACTCTAATTGCTTGATATATAGTTCCAATGTTAAATCGGCATGCTCATAAAGAGGGGGATTGAATCGCGTCGTCTGGATCGAATTCTAAGGACAACCGGCAGGCATTCGGAAACCTGACGAATTCCCCGGTTCATTTGCCTATAATTACTCCGTTCGTTAATGACGCTAGCAGACGCTTTTAGCGGCGGTGGTTCCCCGACAGGAAGCACGTCGATCAAGAGAGAGCCTCTGCCGCGTGAACCGGGCGCGTCGGATCGCCGTTAAAAAAAGAGCCAGGCGCCCGCGAAGAAAGTGAAAGCTTTATTTATACCCGTGACATTCTGTTTATTTTGACTGACACCGCCCCTCCCCCGTAAGTAACGACATACTCGGTCACGTGTTACGCTTCATCCACGTTCCATCCATTCTCAAGATCGCTGCGCGCCGGTTACGTCATTCCGATGAACTCCGGCACACGATAAACCTCGGATTATCGATCAACCTGGCTTCCAGACGTAATTTAGAACTAGATGAACGACCACGTTCGGTGATTATTTGTCGGTGATACGTGGCCGGGTTCCTGGAAACTTCGATTATTATTTTAATTAACGCGGCGGCGAAAAACTTAAGTGTTTTATGTATCACTTGTTGTTTTAGTATCTGAATATTTTAGTAATATTGTAGTAATGGTATATTAAGTAAATACCTAATATTTTGGTAATATTATAGTAATAGTATGTTAAATATATACTTCATACTTTAGTAATATTATAATGATAATATTTCAAGTGAGAAATAAATATTTTAGTAATTTAGACTTTAGTATCGCTTATTCTTTTGTGGTGAAGATGAAAGGGACCGATTACTTATTATTTGGTATTACGATTCTTATGTTAGTGTTGCCCAGTTATTTATGCTATTGAAAATTTTCATTCGAAATCGGTTACTTGAGAAAGTATAATTGTTTACAAGTAATTTAGAAGCTTCTGTCATCGGTAACCGCTATGGCAGTGAATGTGATAATAGATCTTTGTGCAACCTAAAATGTTTTTTGTGTACTTTATAAAAACAGTTAAACAGAAGTGTACTTTCAATGCCAATTATTTCAATATGTTAATAATGATTTAAAGAAAATGTTCAGTTTAATTGAATTTTTTACTTTATTACGTTTCTCGGACTGTATTTTATATAAATGTAAAAACATTCAGAATCTAATAATGAACTTTAACCTACTACGATTCTCACATTAGCTATATATTTGAAGCAATGTTGAAAAATGAGTATTTCTGACAATTTTACGATAGGTTTTTATTTAACATTTTATTTGTACATTTCTGTTTTTCTTCTTGTAAAGATGAAGATGCGACAAGATTGAATAAGATTCAAGAAATTAAAGCATAAAAAAAATAGCAGAATTAAAAGACTTTTTTGAAAAAAAGGATATCATCGAATATGTTTTTAAATTTCATGTGGAAATTTTGAAGTATCATGCATGAAATTAATTGGTTATCCACATATTAATTGAGGGCGATATCAATTTAGAAGATATGAACAATGCAACGTGCAGCAAATGTATCTCGAGTACACGAACAAAGATGAGCACTACCATAAATTGCAGTCTAACCCGTCTCACCGACGTAATCATAATTACGTCATTCCTGCGCAACGTCAAGGATAGCATTATTCACAATTCACGGAGGTTAAGTATTATGAAAATATTCTTAATACAACTCTCTTACCAAGATGTGGTTTTAGCTGCGTTAATAACAGCAGAGTATATTACTAGTTTTAATTAATACCTTTAACAAATGATTTCTTAAGTCCCTCTTGAGGAATTATTCCTCGAAGCAAGGTAGTGCAGCATTTGCAATGATCATCGTAATGCAGAATAACGGTATAACAAAAGAACTACAGGAACATTAATTGTTTTAATTAAATTTATTTGCACAACTGCAGAAATGTTTAAAATAATTGATTGTAATTACATTAAATAATTAAACAATGTCTGGACAAAGCTGGATATTTCATAATACATTCATTCGTTTCTAACTTCGTATATTTTTTTTAATTTCATCCTCGAGTATGTTTCATTTATTTTTTTCCAACTTCAAATTTTCCCATTATTTTCATTTTAAAATCTTATTGTATCGATAAAGATTACTTTTCCAAATTTCCAAGATAGCGAATATTGTTCACAGTAGCAGCACTTCTTTAATTTGTCTTCTTTTCAACTACAATTACATGAAAAGAAAGATATTCGAAATTGTCGTTGAAGAATCTCGAATTTTGTAAAAAACCGCTCTTCGTGGTAACGTGGTTGATTACGACATTCATCTTATTGAGTTAAACAACTGTTTCGCGGTGAACTCTTTCGTGTTGCCA